GTAGTGATCTGGGCGGGCTGTAGAAAAGGGCCTCATGACTATTTGCATCCAGTAGTTAGAAGGAATCATGACATCACTGCAGGTCCATGGGCTGTGCAGACCTAAGAGTCCAAAAGCTGGCAGTCCCAATACTTGTGTTTAAGTATTTATATATATGTTTATTTATTTTATTCTTTTTGAAACACAGCCTCACCATGTAGTTCAGGGTGGCGTCAAACTAATAGGGATCCTCAGTCTCCTGAGTGCTGGGATTGTAGGCGTGCACCACCATGCTTGGCTGTTTTTTAAAACCCCTTACCTCCTCCTCCCTCTCTCCTCTAGTTCTCCTTTCTCCCTTTTCATTCCTGTTGATACTGTTCACCTTGACACATTTATGACATGTTATGTTCATTGAAGTGATTAGGACCTTATATCACAGCCAGGCTTTTGCAGTATCTTTAGGGTTGAGCTTTCTGCTGCAAAACAACAAAAGAGGACATAAAACAACAACAACAGGCTGGGGAGATAGCTCAGCAGTCTAAGTACCTGCCTGGCAAGCACAAGGACCCAAGTTCCATCCCTGATACTTCCATCCCCGGTACCATATGCCATTCTGGCCCTGAAATCGGGCGTGGTGGTGCACGCCTGTGATGCCAGTGTGAGGGAGACTGAAATAAGGGGATCACTGTGAGTCTGAACTTCATAGTGAGACCCTGTAGCCAATAAATAAACACATTTAAAAAGAAACAGCAAAAAGAGTAATGGCTAGAGGGGCTGATGGAGATCTGGGTAACCTACCTTCTAACCTATTCCTGCTTCTCAAGGCCAAAATCGTGCGCAATGCCAAGGACACAGCACATACACGGGCTGAGCGGAATATTCTAGAGTCAGTGAAGCACCCCTTCATTGTGGAACTGGCCTATGCCTTCCAGACAGGTGGCAAACTCTACCTCATCCTGGAGTGCCTCAGTGGTATGCATGTGGGTCCAGCTGGGCTGTGGATGGCTAGGTACCAGTGCAGGAATTTCTGGGTGCTTGAGGGAAGCCTGAAAGGCTAAGGGGACCCCCACATCCACCACCTATCCACTGTCCATCTGTTCATTCATTCATTCAGCAAACATCTGTCCAGTGCCTAGTGTGTCCCTTGCCTGTGTTAGAGGTAGATGGAAATGGTGGGAGTTGGTTTAGAAAACCAGAGGGTGGTTTTGTCCACTTCTGCTATCTCTTCCCATTCTAGCCTCTGTCCTCGTGTGCCCTGCATCTGGTCAGCGCTTCATCTAGCTGCATCCTCTGTGTTGTTGCCTATCCCCTCTAATGTCTTTTGGTGGGTGTGTCTGTGTGTATGCAGTAATTGTAGTTGTTCACTTAGCTTTCTGGTGTCTCCTCTAGCTACCAGGGTATTTCCCCAAACTTTTTTTTTTTTTTGGTACTAGAAATTGAACTTATGACCTTGCGCTTGCTAGGCAGGTGCTGTGCTGCTGAGCTATATCCCCAGCCCATTTTATTTTTATTTTTATTTTTTAAATTTTATTTATTTTTGTGTGTGTGTGGCCAGCTCAGCCCACCTGGGGGCGGGGCTGGCTGGCATGTGGTGCTGGGGGATTGAACCGCGGTCCCTTTGCTTTGCTAAGCTTGTTCTAAGTAGGTGCTTTAGACCACTGAGCCATCTCACCAGCCCTTTAATTTTATTTTTGACAGGGTCTTGCTATATAATTCAGGCTAGTTTTGAGCTTAGTATGTTACTCAGGCTGGCCTTGAACTTATGGTGATCCTCCTGACTCAGCCCCCCAAATTCTAGGATTACAGGTGTGTGCCGCTCCACCCATCAACCAAAACTGATTGTAACTCCAAGTCTCTAACTGCCGAGACAAAGCCTGGCTTCCTTGGCCCATCAACCCTGCTCACCATGACACCATGAAATAGCTAGGGTCTGCATTTCTTACTTCCCTCTCTGTCCTATCAAAGCCCTGGGAGCTGCCACCTGCACGTTCTGCATTCCTTTCCTTTCCTTTCCTTTCATCTCAGCACCCTGGAAAGCCCCACAGTCACCACACATTCTGTCTCTTGTTGGGATTAACTTCATCTGCACTGTCTCTGCCTGTGGTTCTTTGGGCAAAGCTCTCAGAGCTGTTGGCTCAGTCTGGCGTCTAGAGCAGTGTGTGTGTGTCTGTTTCCCTATCAGACTGAACATCCTGAGGGCAATGGCTGGGTCTCCTCATCTCTGCCCCCAGCTTCACCCAGCACAGGGCCAGTCACCGAATAGGCGGCGGTAGATGTTTGCTGAATTGAATTGAATCCCTACGGCAGCTCTGGGAGGCAGGTAGGGCGGGATTTATAAACCCCCTTTTTCCCAAGAAGAAACCGAGACTCAAAGTCAGTGGCGGGACTGAGTCTCAGCACACAGCTGCTGCTGTCTTTATGCTGCAGGGGGTGAGCTCTTCACACATCTGGAGCGAGAAGGCATCTTCCTGGAAGACACGGCCTGGTGGGTATGCAGTTTTCCCTTCTCCCCAAGAGTGCTGGGCTCTTACCCTACTCCTTCAACCTGTCCTGTCTCTGCAGCTTCTACCTAGCTGAGATCACCTTGGCTCTGGGCCATCTCCACTCCCAAGGCATCATTTACCGAGACCTCAAGCCTGAGAACATCATGCTCAATAGCCAGGGTGCGCCTGTGAGCACACACACTGTGTAGCTGCATAACTGGGTGTGCAGGGAAAGGCTGAGAGTTGTGGCCAGGTGGCCCTGACCATCCTCTGCTATTCTTCCTTAGGCCACATCAAACTGACGGACTTTGGACTGTGCAAGGAGTCCATTCATGAGGGTGCCGTCACTCACACCTTCTGTGGCACCATTGAGTACATGTAAGTAGCACCTCACTGGCGTAGGGGTTGGGAGGACAGCCAGAGGGGGCTTGGCTTGACTGACAGTTCCAACCTGGCCCCCAGGGCCCCTGAGATTCTGGTGCGCAGTGGCCACAACCGGGCGGTGGACTGGTGGAGCCTGGGGGCCCTGATGTACGACATGCTCACTGGATCGGCAAGTCCAGCCTCCTTGGGAGGGGGTGGTGTGGGAGAGCCCCCTCCCAGCTGGGGCAGGGCCTGGTGGAGGCCCCCAGGCTCTCCTCACCTTCTCTCTCCTCTAGCCACCCTTCACTGCAGAGAACCGGAAGAAGACTATGGATAAGATCATCAAGGGAAAGCTGGTGCTGCCCCCTTACCTCACCCCAGATGCCCGGGACCTTGTTAAAAAGGTGGGGATCCTCCTGCGGAGGCTCAGGTCTGTTGGCTACTCTGTGTATGTTCCTGAATGTCATTGTCCTATGCAGTGTGCCCGTGAAAGTGAAGGCAGCTCTTCCAGACCCTGAGCCCAGGCCTCAGCTCTGACAGAGCAGCAGCTTCCCTAGATGAGCCTCCAGCTAGATCCTAATCAGGAAGTGAGGCAACCAATTCCACAGGAGGGCCAGCGGCTGGGTGTGTATGGGAGGGGAGGGCACCTTTAGGGCTTGGCACGATGCCAGGAAAGGCTTCATGGAGAAGGTGCCATTGTACCTAGCCTTGAAGGTCTTCAGTAAGTGGAGGCCATACTACAGGGGCCCCCAAGCTTTATCCTCCCCCAGCCAACCTTGGAGCTAAGTGGTAATACCTCCCCCAAGCCATCACTTCTGCCTTGGTCCCACAGTTTCTGAAGCGGAATCCCAGCCAACGGATTGGGGGTGGCCTAGGGGATGCTGCTGATGTGCAGGTGAGTCTGGGACCAAAAGGAGGGGGAGGGAGCCAGGAAAGATGAATGGTTGGCATGTTTGAGGGTGCTCTCTACCTTTAGAGGCACCCCTTCTTCCGGCATATCAATTGGGATGACCTCCTGGCCCGCCATGTGGACCCCCCTTTCCGGCCAAGTCTGGTGAGTCTAGGTCCCTTTGACCCCATGGCAGGTGAAGGCCCCTGAGCCTCAGACCCCTTCACCCTTCCCATGTGCAACTGTCCACAGCAATCAGAGGAGGATGTGAGTCAGTTTGATACCCGCTTCACACGGCAGACACCAGTGGACAGTCCAGATGACACAGCCCTGAGTGAGAGTGCCAATCAGGCCTTCCTGGTAAGGGGAGCCATGGACTGTGGGGACCAACGCAGGGATGGTAGCTAAGGAGTGGTGGACCCTGAGCATGAGCTGGCCTGACTTCTCCCCCCAGGGCTTTACATATGTGGCCCCTTCCGTCCTGGACAGCATCAAAGAGGGTTTCTCCTTCCAGCCCAAGTTACGCTCCCCACGTCGCCTGAACAGCAGCCCCCGGACTCCAATCAGGTACTACCAGTGCAGAGGGGAGCAGGTGACAGGTGTAGGGGGCTCTAGTAATAGGAGGCCACTGGAGTTGGGTGGCCTTGGCCATAGCTATTAATCAGAGCTCCTCTCATTCTTCTACTGTGAGAGCCAGTCATGCTGCAGGGCATAGGAGGCTCTGACTCTGCCTTGGTTTCCTTTGCAGCCCCCTCAAGTTTTCTCCCTTTGAGGGATTCCGACCTAGTCCAGGTCCACCAGAACCCATGGAACCACCTCTACCTCCACTCCTGCCACCACCACCACCACCACTACCCTCAAGCACTGCTCCTCTCCCCATCCGTCCCCCCTCAGGGACCAAGAAGTCCAAGAGGGGCCGTGGGCGCCCTGGGCGCTAGGAGAGTGGATGTGGGTGAGGGCAACATTGAGGCCCCTTCCCTGCAGGCTGTGAGGACAGCCAGACCCGGCTGCTCCTGAGACCTGGGGTGTGTCTGCGAGACAGGAGTGAGTATGTCTTTGTTGTGGGTGGCTGAGCCCAGAATCATGCACATGGAGACAGCCAGCTGTGGTTACTGGCAGGAGGGTCCTACTGGGAGGGACTTCTGCTGCTTCAGCCATGCCATTGCAGAATTAAAAGCCTAAATCATGGCATCAGCTGGCTTCTGCTGGACTCTGGGATTGGGTCGGATCACTCCAAGAGCAGCCCCTGCTCAGGGTGGTGAGAGGACACTACAGGACCACAGATCGCAGGGTGGGATGGGATTTATTTCATAGCTGCCCAGGGTACACGTGGATGGCCTTCTGGAGGGGATGAGGCTGCACAGGCTTGGAAACCAGTGGGGGGTGACAGTCTGAGGTGCTCTGCATGCGCGTTGGGGTGATGACCACCAGGTCCCAGCTAGCTGTGTTCCACTGTAGTAGCTTGGCAAGCAGAGATACAATGAGATGCCACAACAGGGCTGGGACAGACACCAAGCTGGCTCCTATAGTGCAGTGACGTGGAGACCCTGGGCCCCTGTGGCCCCAGCGCTGTCATCCCAGGCTGCACTGCCTGAGAAGGCATGCAGGTCACTCAACAGGGCCTCGGCACTGCCTCCTGAGCCCCGTTCAACATCAGTGTCAGGCGCTTCCTCAGTGCGCTCTGGGACATGTACCGGGTGGGGCCCTGCTCTTCGGTGCTGCTTATCTTCCTGGGGTTCAGCCTCCTCCATGCCTTCATCCATGACATCTTTTGCATTCTGCACATCCTCTCGCCCTTCTCTGTTGTTTGGTGACTCCGCCTGATAACAGGTCTGAAGCCAGTGGCCTGGAGGGCTGGCCCAGAACAGGCGGCGGGTATGGCCCCACAGTACAGTACCCAGGTGGGCTGGGTGGTAGTAGCCCCCTGAGTCATGGTTGAGGCGGTACCAGGCCAAGGCCAGGCCTGTGATGAGCAGCAGGAGCAGCAGCAGCAGTAGGACAACGGTTACAGAGCTGGAGCCCATGCTGTCCCCAGAGCCCAGAGCTCCTGGCAGGGCCAGCAGCATCCAGAGCCCAAGGGTGCAGGATATAGCCTGTAGGAGATATAGGTTGGGGCTGTCACCTGGTGTGGAACTCAGTGACTGATTTCCGTTCACCACAGAGAAGGTTCTCTATTGCCATTCAGCAAAATGGAATCAGTCAAGTAAAAAGCACTCCAGTCCTTATTTGGTCAAGGTCTTGACCCAGTGTAATCTGCCTCTACACCTGACGTTGATCCTGTAGCTCACTTCATTCCTGGCTTCCTTCAACCTGGTCCTGTCCTAGGCCTTTGCACTGGCTCTTCTCTTGGCTGGAATTCTCTTGGCTGGAATGCTTCAAAGCTGAGGGCCACCGAGCTGCCTGCTCACTTCCTGTGAGACCCAGCATGACCTTGACAGCTAACTGTTCGTTACAGGAGTCTACACACTCTACACTCTCCAGACCCCCTAACCTGTTCTATTTTCTCCATAGTGCACTGGATACAGGTCTCTTTTTCTGTTGCCTTACCTCACCTCTGTAATCAGAATAAGCTTTGGGAAGACATGTAGCAGGGCCACAGACCTAAAACTAATGCTTGGCACATAATAGATGCTCAAGAAATAGAGGCTAGCTGGGCACAGTGGTGCAACACCAGTAATCCCAGCACTTGAGAGGCTGAGAATCGCCATTTCAAAGTCAGCCTCGCTATGTAAAAGTTCAAGACCACCCTGAACTCCGTATCTCAAAAAAACAGGCCAAATGGGTCAAGAGTGCCCAGCTAGGGGTAGGAGGGTGGGAAAGGGGAGAGAAAAGGGAAGAGGTCTGAGTGGCTGGCATCAGCGCTGACTTCTGGAAGCTGAGATGGAGGGATCCGGATGAATCCAGAAACAACCCTTAAACTCTGCTTGGCTGGGTCCCAGGATGGGGGTCCCTGAGGCCCCTCTTCCACAACTACTGCAGTTTCCGCTCAGCAACCCATTCCCCAGCCCCAGGGCCTCAAGTGAGTAGGGCTGGGGCTGGGGGCAGCCGGGTGCAGCTGGCAGAGGAAGCCTGCGGTTGGAACGAGGCAGGTGGAGCGTGAGGGGAAGGGGGAGGGGTGTGAGTGTGGCCCTTCACTTAGCCTCCAGCCCTCGGGACCCAAGCAGGAGCCATGCTGGAGTTCAGCTCATGAGATAACCAGGTGAGGGTTGATCCCAGGAGCCTCAAAGAAGGGCTGGACTTGGAGTTCCATAGAGCCTAGCTCAGAGTTGAACTCAGCTCCTGCCCAATGATGCTCAACCTGGGTCTTGCCTCTCTGTGCTTCTGGGTCCTTGTGGGGGAGCCCTTCCATATATTTTAGCCCCAACCTCCTAGAACCCCCTTTCCCCTGCCTCAAGAAAGCAGCAGGCCCTAATACTCACCATCGGTCTGCTGGCCTCCTCACAGGGTGCCCACTTCTTGGCTTGATGTGTTGAGAAGTGAGCTGCGGCGCTTTCAACTGCAGCTAGGGGTTATCGACCCATACTTCCGCTTCCTGTCCACAATACCCCACCCGTTCTTGCCTGCTGCAGGACCCTGCTGCAGCCTGGGCCTCTAAGGACCACTCCAGCCCACATCAAGTCCTCATAAACTTCTCTGGGTGAGACTGGGGCCATGGGCGGGACTAGGCTTCCAAGAGAAGGAACTAGGCACCCAGCTCAAAGCTGGATAAAGCTGTGTGGATGTGTTAGTCTTCCGCCTTTTTCTGCCTGACAATTTAGAGGAGCCAAGTGTGGCTACTTGGTGCCCCCAGATTTTCACACTCTTGACTTCCACGTTAATCTATCCCCACGTTTCCAGACTTTCTTTCCCAGGCCCACACATATAGCAGCTGATCAAGCCAGGGTTTTAGAAAGAAAATTTTATTTGGAATGAAAATATAGAGCTCATCCCTGCCACTTCCTCTGGGGGAATGGGGGCGAGAAGGGTGGTCCCTCAGAGTACAAGCAAGCTTGCCTTAGTATAAAAATCCTCCACAGTAACAATGACCAGAGCTAGGTGGTGGCTCCAACCTGGACCCCAGGCCTGATCAGGTATGAACTGGTCCCTGACCTGCCAGAGGCACTTGTTAAGTCGGCAGCCAGTGCGACCTGCCAGCAGAAGGCGAGTGAGATGGGGGTAAAGGAGGGAACGCAGCGAGGGGGTGGACCCAGGGGCTGTGGTCCTATGCATCCCCATTCTCCATGCGACCAAGCTGCTCCTCCAGGCGGCTGATGCGGTCTCCCTGTTCCTTGATCAGTGCCTGCAATGCCCGAAGCTTCTGCAGGATTTCTTCCAGCTTCCCAGCCTCCTGCAGGGACAACAGGAAGTCAGTGACATCAGCTACAATTCTCAAACCACCAGACAGGACTTGGCTCAGAAAGGGAGACCAGATGACGTGGGCACACACAGCCTGGGGCAGCACGCAGGTTCCCAATACCTCCTCTGACTAGGGAGCACATACCTCAGCCCCTGTAAGGCTGCCGCTGGGGGTGGAATCAGCGGTGGTGGCAGCAGAGGTGGAGGCTCCTGGCCAGCTGGAGCCGGCTGGCCGGCTGTCGGACAGCACATTGCGCCGGCTGACTTTCAGGTCTCGCTGTTTGCTGGGCACATAGGCCTCTCGCAGTGAGATGAGGATGGGGTCGGCATCCTGCCCACTCACCCACTCCTCAGCCTCCAGGGCCGCTTCAGGCCCAGCTGTGTCAGGATACAGATCATCCTGGAAGAGGTCGGACTGCGCAGCAGGCAGGGGAGGTCAGGATAAGCTGGTGGCCTCCTACAAACCTCACAACTGGACTGTGGGTGGCTACTTCATTTCCCTTTGGGCTGGTGTTCTATCGACCCTGCCTCAAATGGCCTGGCCCTGAGTGACCTCAAATCTGTCATTTCACTTCCCTTCTGGGCACCAACAGCTCCCTTTGCAACTGTCCCCAACTCTCCTGAGAAGGCTCTGTCACCACCCTTGCCTGCAAAACACAGGCCCCAGCTATGTGGCTCTGGGATCCTGGGAGCCACATGGATTAAGCTGGGGTAGGCTCCATCAGCCTCCACTCCACTCTGCTCCCAGATGTGCCTGGTACACTGAATGAAGCACTTAGAAAATGTCATCTGGAGAATAATGAAAGTGTGTCTTAGACTCCTGGCATCTGGAGTCAAACCCCACGTGGCCTGGTTGTCCTCATGGAACTCTCAACTGCAGCCAGACCCCTTGTCCTCTTTCCATTCCCAGCTCCATGCCCTTGCTTGGCCTGCCCCCCTCCTGCCGCCGGATGGTCCCACCTGGCCCTGATGTGGGCCCTGCCTCCTACTGGGAGGCTCTCCATGGCTGCAGTTCCTCCCTGACTGCTCGGCCCTGTCTCCTGTGGCTCCTTTGGAGCACAGCCTCACCTAACACTCTGTGTCATCCTGCTCACTCCCCATCTACCTTCTGGGTACAAGTGCGTGCTGGCCATCTGTCCATCCCACCCACTGCACTCACTCACAGGCCTTGCCTATCACCAATATGTACGAGAGAAGGAAGCAAATGGGTTTGGGCAGCAGGTGGCCTCACCTTTCTTGGCACAGTCATGACAATGGGTTCACACTTTCGCTCATGCAGTTTGTAGAACCTGGGAGAGGGAGAGGTTCCATGATTGGAGCTCTCCTAGCTGCCCCCCCCCCCCACTTCCAACCCTTACCTGGCCTTCCCATAGCCGGACCCCAAGGCCCCTCATGCAGGCTGCCTTGTGGTTTAGGGGTTCCTACATACTGGCCCCTGAGCTGCCTTGTGGTTTAGGGGTTCCTACATACTGGCCCCTGAGCCTTGGGCCCCTCTGTAACATACTCCTGCTCCTAAGCTACTTCCAGTGATATGACTTCTCACCTTGGATGTCCTAGGCTTGACCCCTGCTCCCATCCTGACCCACCCGCAATCTGGGTCTTAGAGTGAGTCCCATCCCCGCTTACCGGGCAATCTCACACTTGCTGACCTCCAAGCCCCGCTTAGGCATGCTGCCCATGCCCCTCTGGGGCTCCTTGCTGGTGAATGTGTTCAGGAAG